AACTCCTTTAGCTTTTCCTTATCTGTGAAGCTCTTTATCTGACATTTATTTACAGTTTGTTTTTGTTGTTTTTTTTTTTTACTTCTTTTAGATTATTTCTCTTCTGAAATAAGATAACTGTGTTAAAAGTTACAAACATTTTCATGGCTTCTAGATGTTTAGTTGATCCCACCAGGTGATTTGTACTTCTTGACAACCTTTAGAGTTGTTTTTACAGACCTTGTGTCTGTCAGCCATATGTAGTACCTAAAATCTAATAAATAGGACTGGTACTCAAAATCCTTTCTACAAAGCATGCACACACTGTAGCACAGTCGCCCTTCACCTTTTTGGGTCCACAGACCCTTTTGAAAATTTAACAAAAGTAAGCTTCTCAGAAAAAAAATCACGATAAAAACATTTTAAAAATATTTTGATCATATCCCTAGCCTGTTTGGCTCAGTGGATAGAGGTTGGCCTGCGGACCAATAGGTCCCGGGTTCGATTCCAGTCAAGGGTACTTACCTTGGTTGCTGTCTCCTCCCCAGTCGAGGCACCTCCCAGCCCTGGTCAGGGATCATGCAGGAGGCAGCCAATCGATGTGTTTTTCTTACACCAATGTTTCTCTTAGTCTTCCCCTCTTCCACTCTCTCTAAAAGATCAATGGAAAAATATCCTTGGGTGAGGATTAAAAATATACATATATTTTGATCATAGAGGTAAGACATTATCATGCTAATGTAACAGAAGATCAGATGGACCAAGAAGTCACAATAGAGCTAATCTTTGTTAACACACAATCTGCTGCTTTTTTAGTGTAAGCTTTACAGTGACATGTGTTTACTCATGAAGTTCCACTGTGTGATTAGCTGGGAATTTCTTATTTTCAGAGAGATCACAGTTTTCAGAGACTCTGCCACATCTTAACAAACACTATAAACAAATCTATTGTGTATCGCTTTGGAAGTGGCAACATTTCTAAAGAGCAGTAGATTCCTTATCAAGCCAAATTTCTTCCTTTTTGTGATAGTGAGAAAGAAAAGTAAAACAATTAACTAATTCAGTATTGTGTGTGTGTGTGTGTGTGTGTGTGTGTGTGTGTGTGTGTGTTATTGTTGTTTTTTCCAGTCAACTGTAAAGCTCTTCATTGATGGGAAATTTGTTGAATCCAAAAGTGACAAATGGATCGACATCCACAACCCAGTAAGCAAAGCTGCTTAAACTGACTAGCCTAGAATTCTGGGAACATGGTGGGAAAGTGGGGACCTGGGTGTCTATCGTGAAACACGTAGTGTTGCCTTTGTAGCCATGAAAAATGGAGAAGGCGAGGCCAGGGCAAAGGATGATGTGCTGCTTTTTCCCATCAGGCCACCAATGAGGTCATTGGTCGGGTCCCTCAGGCCACCAAGGCTGAAATGGATGCGGCTGTTGCCTCCTGCAAACGCTCTTTTCCCGCATGGGCAGACACTTCAGTATTAAGCCGTCAGCAGGTTCTGCTTCGCTATCAACAGCTTATTAAAGAAAACTTGGTAAAAAATCTGAATGACACCATTTTCCAAACTGTTGTCTATAGGAGACTTGTCACACCCACAGAGGCCCTTTTAGCTGCACTCCCTCACTGTTCAGTCCAGACAGACATAGGTCATGGTTCTCTTTTTCATATTACTTCTCCCCAGTTTCGTCCTTCCTTTGCTGCCTGAGAACTAAAAGGAGACACACCCTTGTATTGGTTTCTATTTGTGTGTTTTCTCTCTAGAAAGAAATTGCCAGGTTAATCACTCTGGAACAAGGGAAGACCCTAGCGGATGCTGAAGGAGATGTGTTTCGAGGCCTTCGTAAGCTGGGTGTCCCTCCTGGGGAGCTTCAGGGACATTTGGGAAAGGAGCAAAAGAAAATGGGAGGCAAAGATCCCTTAATGAGGGATTGCTTCTTCCTTTATGTCAATTTTGTTATCCCATGATACCTTTTTTAATACTTGTGGAAAATAGGAATACTTCTCAGCAATCTATGAAATTGGTTTACTTCATTTTTTGTTTTGCTCAACTGACCTTACAGTAGGTATGTATATTTCACTGTCTTTTTCCCACTTAGAGAATCTCATTTTGAACAAGCCCTTCTCTCATGGAAGGTCAAGTCAGTGTTTTTTTCCCTCTGTCCTTGGCCTGAGCCACTCCCTGCCCTCAGGGCTTATTGGAGCGTGACCAAGGCAGGTAGTGTACCCTGTGGGCAGCTGCTGGCCTGACTGCTTCTTCTCTGTTGCAGAGGTGGTTGAGCATGCCTGCAGTGTGACATCCCTCCTGCTGGGAGAGACGATGCCATCCATCACCAAAGACATGGACCTTTATTCCTACCGTCTGCCTCTTGGGGTGTGTGCAGGCATTGCTCCATTCAATTTTCCTGCCATGATCCCCCTTTGGATGTTTCCCATGGCCATGGTGTGTGGAAATACCTTCCTAATGAAGCCATCAGAGCGAGTCCCTGGAGCAACTATGCTTCTTGCCAAGTTGCTTCAGGACTCTGGTGCCCCTGATGGAACACTGAACATCATCCATGGACAACACGAAGGTAACTGCCTTTCGGTACATGGCACTTAATCTGGCTTCCCAAATATCAAGGTGATGAGTGGTGATGGGTGTTCTAGAATGAGGAACCTAGGGATGAAGGGATTTACTAAGTTACCTCCATGTTTGAAGGTAATATTTGTTAACTGTTTTGCTGTCTGTGTGCTAAGGTAACTAACTAGGGAGTAGCAGTGCTTCTTGCCCTACGAAATACATTGGGACAAGGAAATATGGATTAGGGCATGACAGGTAAGATTAAAGAAAAAGTTTTCACTTTACTATTGAGATAATTTATGAGGATTTTTAATTCAGAGACTCACTTTATGGACCTCAGAGAGACTAAAAGCCTTCTAGTTCATATAATAATAGCTACTACTTAAAAATTACTTCTGTGTTTCAGGCACTGTTTCTTGTATCTTACATATATTATTTCATTTAATCTTTATAAGAACTCATTTAGATAGATGCTATTTTTCCATTTTACAGATAAGAAAATTGAAGCATAATGAAATTAAGTAATTTGCCCAAAGTCACAGTGCTAAAACCTATCAGAGCCAACATGTATATATCCAGGAAGGCTGAACCTGGTTTTCACTTTTAAATATAGTCATGTGGCACATAACGATGTTTTGGTCAACAACAGACTGCATATAAAACAGTGGTCCAAAAAGATTATAATAGAGTTGAAAAATTCTTATCACCTAGTGACATTGTAGTCATGGTAACATTGTAGTGCAATGCATTACTCACACGTTTGTGGTGATGCTGGTATAGAAAAGTATAGCATATGCAATGATGTACAATACTATACTACTTAATAATGATACTAAATAACTATATAACTGATTTGTGTACTTACTATGCTATTCTCTTTGGTATTTTAGAGTGTACTCTTTCTACTTAAAAAAGAAGTTTGCTGTAAAATAGTATGTCGTATTATGCTGGCAGCAGCCTTATACATCTCACGCTTACTGCACCTGTTGATTGCATCATTTTCTCTTGTGTTTAATTTAATCTCATATTTTTTATACAGAAGCATACTGTACAGGTTTGTAGCCTATGAACCACAGGTTATACCATCTAGGTTTGTGTAAGTGCACTCTATGATGTTTGCGCAATGACAAAATTGCCTAATGATGAATTTCTCATAATGTTGTCCCCGTCATTAAGCAGTACATGAGTGTAGTATGCTATATTGTCTCTCACATAAGGGCACAGCAGTATCTGAGAGTTCTAGTATGTAGAGACAGTTGAAGAAATATCATATTCTTAAAGAACAGAAGTGTTGAGTATTGAAGAGCTGTTATTTTGGAGAATTTTATAAGAGTGTGTTTGAGCCCAAACTGAGGACAGTGCCAGGAAGCACAATCTCAAATGCTCTGAAGGGCTGTTATTTTCAAGAAAAAATAGGAGTTGTAAGTTTCAGAGTTAAAAGTGGAAATTCTGGAATAGCAAATGAGAAAAATAATGAAAGGGAAGATGCTAAATAGACTTTATAGTTTAAAGAATTAAGAAGACAAAGAAAGAGAGAACTTCAAAATAGGAATCCAGCACTGAAACACAAAAGTATGAAAATTTCTCCCTCATAGCAGTGGGGAAAGGGGAAATTTGTTATGTTGAGAAACCCATAGCCATCTGTTCCTTTATGGTGATCATTTATTTTCTTCTTAAAGCTGTGAACTTCATTTGTGATCATCCGGATATCAAAGCAATCAGCTTTGTGGGATCCAACCAGGCAGGAGAGTACATCTTCGAGAGAGGGTCAAGACATGGCAAGAGAGTTCAAGCCAATATGGTGACTTCTTATTCCTTTTTTCTCTCAAACTTTGTTATATGTATTAAAATTACCTAGAAACAGCCCTGCAGCAGAGGGGCCTTTCCTCCCACTCTAACGCCAGTGTTCCCTTATTCCCATTTCATCCCGAAAGCTTTCCTTTAATGATGAATATTGTGATGAGGTTTATTCTAAGTGACTTTATTTAAAAAAAAATGTGTGTGTGTGTGTTATTGATTTTAGAGAGGAAGGGAGATGGAGAGAGAGAGAGAAGCATCAATGATGAGAGAGAATCATAGATCGGCTGCCTCCTGCACACCCCTCACTGGAGATTGAGCCCGCAACCCAGGCATGTGCCCTGACCGGAAATCAAACCCTAACCTCCTGGTTCATAGGTTGATGCTCAACCACACTGAGCCACACTGGCCGAGCAACTTTAATTACCTTTTATCTCATACAGCAAATTTGGGTGCCAAGGGCACATTTTTCCCTGAGAATGTTATTCATATTCTTTGAGCTTTAGCAGTAACAGCTGAATTCTGGTTCTGGCCCTGTTTCTTCCTTCATACCATGCTTTTCTAGCCCTTTAACCTTTTCCTTCTTTTAAGGCGCATCCTAACTACTAATGTCAAAATATCTTCTTCCCTAAGAATTCAGACTAAGGCACTGAGAAGAGCCCCATATCCCTATACGAGATGTGTGGTTTACTAGATTGCATAGTTTTGCTGTTCTCTTACTAGTTCCTTGTCAAATAGTTGGCAATTCTTTGATACTAAATATAAAGTCCAATTGCTACTTTCTTACTCTTTGACTAATGTTGCATAAAGGATAGCCACCCGAGCACAGGTTTGGAAATTTCATGATATGCTTACTTATTTCTTTTCATGGCTGAGTGTATTTGGCCATTTTGACTTAAGTTCCTCCCAATTCACAGTATACCATGTGTAATGGGATAAAATTAAGTAGCTGGCATGGTATTTATCCATGTAGTCAATTATAGTTGTATCTGAAGACATATGTGTGGAAATGACCAGATGTTATCCTTCATAGAAGTTCATGAGGATGTGTATCTAGAAGCAAGCCAGTCTGGGGAACCTCTTTCCAGAACTTGTTTATCAGGAGAGGGCTACCTCCTATTTTGTTTCATCTGGCTACTGGCATTATTACTGGCAGTTGTTTTCACTGCTATTCATGTAACTGGAAACCCCAGTAGACAACAAATTCTTTCCTATCTAACAGGAAAGAGAAAGTAGTTCTCATTGGTCCTGGATGCAGTGTTAGCCTATCAGTTTGACTTAAATGTGATGATTGGGGTTCTTTTTTTTTTTTAATCTAAATAAACATGCATCAGCTTATCAACTGAGAAGGGGGAAAGTAATCTGGAGACTTGCTCAATGTTACCAAGACTTTAGCAGTATCAAAATAATCAGTCTATCCTCAAAGCAGCAAAGAATAAATTCTCTAGTCCTTACCTTAAATGTTCATTTGAAATTTCATATTATTTGCCTAGTTTTTAGCATAATTTTATTTTCTCAAGGAAGATTCATGTGCTTTCTGTATTTCCTTAGGGAGCCAAGAACCATGGGGTAGTCATGCCAGATGCCAATAAGGAAAATACACTGAACCAGTTGGTTGGGGCAGCATTTGGAGCTGCTGGTCAGCGCTGCATGGCTCTTTCAACAGCGATCCTTGTGGGAGAAGCTAAGAAGTGGCTGCCAGAGCTGGTGGAGCGTGCCAAAAACCTGAGAGTCAACGCAGGTAATATGTTATCTGCCTCGCTCCTTTAGACTTTGCATTTGTTAAAACCAAGCTCTTGGTTTTAACATTGGCTTTGGCCAATGGGAGCAATCATATCATTTTTTACCATTGCCTCTCTTTATACTGTACCTGTTTAGATTAATCTTTAGTTGGCAGTCATAAGTTATGTTAATGAAGACATTAAACACTTCTGTGTTGTTTATAGGAGACCAGCCTGGAGCTGATCTTGGCCCTCTGATCACACCCCAAGCCAAAGAGCGAGTCTGTAATCTGATTGATAGTGGAACAAAGGAGGGAGCCTCCATCCTTCTTGATGGTCGAAATATTAAAGTCAAAGGCTATGAAAATGGCAACTTTGTTGGACCAACCATCATCTCAAATGTCAAGGTAAACAACTCTGGATTATTTGTTTCTCAGATATGGGAGCTGAAGGCACTTTAGAGGCTATGTTATCTCTTCCCTCCAATCCTATATAATAAAGAGCTAATATGCAAATTGTCATCGCTCCCTCACACCCTCGTGCCTTTGTGCTGGAACTGCTCAGACACTCAACACTGGGAAGAGAGGAATGGGGACCAGCCAGGTACAAGTGAGCTCACAGGAGGAACGGGGACCAGCTAGGCACAAATGAGCTCACGAGAGAGGAATGGGTACCAGCCAGGCTGCGGCCCGGGAGAGGGACAACTGTCAACCCCGTGGTCCCAGATGCCAGCTCCTGTGGCTGCGGACCAGGAAAGGGACAAGCCACCCGCACCACAGTCCCAGGTGCCTTCCTTATTGGCATCTGGCAGTCCCAGGTGGCCTGAAGCCACCCACCCATGGCCCCCTATGGCTGCAGTCGGCCCAGGCAAAGCTGGCCCAGGTCCTGGGTGCCTACAGCCAGCCAGAGGGAGGGAAGCCTGGGTCCCGGGTGCCTGCGACCAGCCAGAAGAGGGAATCCTGGGTCCGGGATGCGGGGTGAGGCAGAGGCGGTTAGGGGGCGATGAGGCCAGCAGAGGAGCAGTTGGGGCGATTAGGCCAGCTGGGGAGCAGTTAGGGGCAATCAGGCAGAGGTGGTTGGGAGCGATCAGGCAGGCAGAGGTGGTTGGGGGCGATTAGGCAGGCAGAGGGGGTAGGGGTGATCAGGCAGGTGAGCGGTTAGGAGCCAGTGGTCCCGGATTGTGAGAGGCAGTTGGACATCCCCCAAGGGTTCCCGGATTGGAGAGGGTGCAGGCCACACTGAAGAACCCCCCCTTGCATAAATTTCATGCACTGGGCCTCTAGTTTATAAATAAAGAACATTTAATGACTAGAGACTTCATTTCTTGCCAGAATTATTCAGTTATTTTATCTAGAGTCTGATTTAACCTCCCTTCTCATTCATGATCTCTTTCTACTCTACTAGTATTCAGCAAACTTTTCATAAAGGGCTAGATAGTAAATATTTTTGGCTTTGCAGGGATATGCAATGTCTGTCACAACTACTCAACTCTACACATATTAGTATGAAAGCAACCATTAACATTATGTAGCTGTGTTCTGTTAAAATTTTATTTACGGACAATGAAACTTTAGTTACAAATAATTTTATATGCCATGATTGATTTTTTTCAACCATTTAAAAAATATAGAGCCCTGGCCGGCCTTTCTGAGTGGTTAGACCAGGGGTGGGCAAACTTTTTGACTCGAGGGCCACAATGGGTTCTTAAACTGGACCGGAGGGCCGGAACAAAAGCATGGATGGAGTGTTTGTGTGAACTAATATAAATTCAAAGTAAACATCATTACATAAAAGAGTACGGTCTTTTTTTTCCATAGTTTTATTCATTTCAAACAGGCCGGATCCGGCCCGTGGGCCGTAGTTTGCCCACGGCTGGGTTAGAGCATCAGCCTGAGCACCAGAAGGTCATGGGTTCAATTCCCAGTCCTTCAAGTACCTGGGTTGCAAGTCCATTCCCAGCCCCCGTCAGATACATGCAGGAGGCAACCAATCAATGTGTCTCTCTCACATCAATGTTTCTCTTTCTCTCTCCCTCTCCCCCCCCCACTCCTTTCCATACTCTCTCTAAAAATGAATGAAAAAATATCCTTGGGTGAGGATTAACAATAACAACAACAAAAATTATTCTTAGTTTCTTGGCTGTATAAAAACAGGCAGCCATATTTGGCCCAATGACCCTATTTTGCCAATCCCTATCTTATACTTGTTACTTATTTGTTTAATGTCAATTTTTTTCCCATTCCTTCTTATTCCTAGCTTATAGTTATTGCAGTGTTTCCACCAACATATCAACCACCCCATATTTATTGAGCACTTACTCTGTGCTCTAAATTTAGCTGCATCTTTACCAGAAAGTGACAAAAGGAAGATAATTTTTATTATCAAATAAAAATGTTTATTTATTAAAACTCTACACGTTTTTCAGCTAAAATTAATGACTAAGTTGAGGTTAGGAGGCTTTTTTTGAAATACATATGTTCCCACAAATCCTACTATAATCCTGAATAATTAAGTTGAATTTAAGTGTAGTAGAAATTATGAAATCTCTTGCCAAAGAACCATGGAGGAAAATACCCACTTATAAATAACAAACACAGCAGACTAGCTACAGTGGTAAAGAATGTTTTGTATGTTTAATGTAACCTGCTATCAAAATATAAATGTGCAGACTCATTTGGGAAACAAAGGAATGAATGAGAATGGATTATTTATGTTATAGAAAACTTAGCACAGGGTTTCTTTAAATAGAAAGAAATCTCCTGTGGTATTTTAAATACATATTTGATTTATTTAAAAAGTGAATTTTCATGTAAGTTTTCAGTAACATAATAATTGTATAAACAGGTTATACAATTATAAAAGAGGAAGCTAGTGATGGGTCATGGGACCTAAAAATACAGTGCTTAAAGGAAAGGATTGTAATTGTAATTAATGGGAATTTCAAGTTATTGATAAAGATTGGTAGCTTGGAAGATGGAACACAGCAAGAAAGCACTTTAAAAAAAATAAGTGCTTTAAAATGAAAAAAGATTACTAACATGAAAGCTGTCTATGTAAACAGTGGGCTCTAAATTAACAAATAAGCATAAAATACTGACTTCTTTTCTGGATACATCACTCCTGGCAGCCAAATATGACTTGTTACAAAGAGGAGATTTTTGGTCCAGTTCTTGTGGTTCTGGAGACAGATACTTTGGATGAAGCCATCAAGATTGTAAATGATAACCCATATGGAAATGGAACTGCCATCTTCACCACCAATGGAGCCACCGCTAGGAAATATTCCCACTTGGTGGATGTTGGACAGGTTTGTGAAAATAATTTTTAGGAGATTCTTATAGCCATTTACTGTTTCCTGGGGAGATGGTAAACAGTGATCAGTTGCTACTGCTCTGATCTCCCACAATGCCCCATTTTCTTCCTCAGGAATAAAAGTTCAGTGAGATGGATATAGGGTGGAAGGTGGGTATTTAAACTTGATCTCTCTAATGCCACGCATTTATGCTTCTAAATGGAAAGTTCCTTTGTTTGAGTCCTTTTCTTAATATCTGGTGTGGATTTGTTCTGCTTTAGGTGGGTGTGAATGTCCCCATTCCAGTGCCTTTACCAATGTTCTCATTCACTGGCTCTCGATCTTCCTTCAGGGGAGACACCAATTTCTATGGCAAACAGGTAACAAAGTTTTTTTAAATGTCTTTTCCTCTAAGAAACTTTTATATATTCAGGAACAAGGATTCTGCAAGGAAGGATCTGCCAGCAGCCTCTGTGAGGTCATACATTGTTCAGCACTGCTTGTCAGTAGGTCTCCTAGAAAAGATTTGAAAGAGAACAGAGTTTTAGGGAAAAAGCATACGGAAGTCCAAGCCTTTATATATGACCTTTCCTCTGCCTCCTCATTTTCATCTGACTAACTCTTAATCACCTGTCATGTCTCCATTTAAAGAATGGACTCTTCTAGAAAATCACTTGACTACCACCAGCCCTTTCCTCAGTGCTCAGTTGGGTATGCCCTCATGTGCTCCCACCAATCCACATATTTCTCCCTGTAATGGTTATTCACTTACAAAAAATTTCTTTGAGCACCTTCTTTGTACCAAACACTATTCTAGGCACTATAAATACAGCACTGAACAAAAGCAGATCTGAAATCAAATTGCCTGGGTTCAAACCCAAGCTTGGCCAGTTATTAACTGTGTGACTTTGGAGATACCTTCTCTTTGTCTCAGATTTCTTCATCTGTAAAGTGAAAATAACAACAATACCTATATTTCATGAGGTTATGAGGGTTAAGTTACCACTATTATCACATTCTTCAGGAGGTGCATACTTCCTAAGGCAGGAACAGTCATGGCATATTCAAACAGCAGAAATGGTCTGGAGCACAGGGAGTGAATGAGTAAGACAATGGGGTAAGAGATGAGGCTAGAGAGGTAGGCAGGGACAAGTCATGTAAGAATCTTTAAGCTATGCTAAGAAGCCCTCATCATTCTTTAGTTACTTATCTGCAGCACCTGGCACAGAGCAGGTGCCCAAACATATGTTGAACAAATGGGTTAGTGGAAGTTTTTTATAGTACTACAGAAATTCAGCCATTTTGGAATATTCAGTAATAAATTACATTTTTTTCTATAAAGGTCTCTCTTTTAAATGTTAATAAAAAATTAACATGGACTTACATAGCAGAATATGTCAGTGTGGCTAACTGGCTAAGAAAAAATTTGATTATTTGGAAGCTTATTATACAATTTGTGACAAAAATGACAGCTTTTATAAAACTAACTAGTTTATACTATTAACAAAAATTTCTTTATAAGTTACTCTGTAAGTGAGGCTTCTTGCAGGAAAAGACTGACCTCATATAGAGTTTGAAGTCTAAAATCCTCAGGTAATTAAATTGCTAATTTGTATTTTAGAAATGAAAATATCATCCTATATAATAATCCTATATAATAAAAGAGTAATATGCAAATTGACCCTAATAGCGGAATGACAGGTCACTATGATGTGCACTGACACCAGAGGCAGACGCTCAATGCAGGAGTTGCCCCTTGGTGGTCAGTGTGCTCTCACAGGGCAAACTCTGCTCAGCCACAGGTCAGGCTGACGGCTGCGAGTGCAGCGGCGGTGTGGCCCGGGAGGAGCAGGCCTAAGCCATCAGTCGGACATCCCTCAAGGGCTCCATGGCTGCCAGACAGATGTCTGACTGCCAGCTTAGGCCCGATCCCCCAAGGGGTCCTGGACTGTAAGAGGGTGCAGGCTGGACTGAGGGAACTCCCTGAGTGCATGAATTTTCATGCACCAGGCCTCTAGTCCATTATAATAAAAGCCCAGCGACCAAATGGCAGAACGACCAGAACACTGAAACAACCATGCCCCCTTGCCCTGGCCGGCCCCACCCCCAATCAGCCCCCATAGTATATATATATAAAAGCCTAATATCTAAGTGTCCGACTGATTGGTCGACCATTTATTTGGTCGACCATTTGACCAGTTCCTATGACATGCACTGACCATCAGGGGGCAGACACTCTGATCAGTAGGTTAGCTTGCTGCTGTGGTCCAGCCAATCGGGACTGGAGCCAATGTCCCACGATCCCTGTCTGGCCTCTAAAATATTTCTTCTAATTAATTTCCTTTCCATGTGCATGAATTTGTGCACTGGGCCTCTAGTTCTTACATAATAAAATGTAAACTTTAGTTGTATCTTATATTGAAAGTATATAATAATCTCTAAAGTTGTTTTCAATATGTTAACATGGCCCAGAATGTCAAGTAATTCTAGAAGAGTATTTCAATCAAACTACTGGTTTTTTCCAAACAATATCTTTTTAGCTTTCTAGTAATTTGGTGTTAGATCTGTATAATCCAGTGATGGCGAACCTTTTGAGCTCGGCATGTCAGCATTTTGAAAAACCCTAACTTAACTCTGGTGCCGTGTCACATATAGAAATGTTTTTGATATTTGCAACCATAGTAAAACAAAGACATATTTTTGATATTTATTTTATATATTTAAATGCCATTTAACAGAAAAATCAGCCAAAAAAATGAGTTCGCGTGTCACCTCTGACACGTGTGTCATAGGTTCGCCATCACTGGTATAGTCTATTCTCTTTTGCTCAAGCCTATTCTTTTTTTTTTTTTTTAATATATTTTATTGATTTTTTACAGAGAGGAAGGGAGAGGGACAGAGAGCTAGAAACATCGATGAGAGAGAAACATCGATCAGCTGCCTCCTGCACACTCCCACTGGGGATGTGCCCGCAACCAAGGCACATGCCCTTGACCGGAATCGAACACGGGCCCTCTCAGTCCGCAGGTCGACGCTCTATCCACTGAGCCAAACCGGTCTGGCCGCTCAAGCCTATTCTTATAAAATAAACCATGTAGATTATAAAGACTTAAATATGCTGAATTTTTTTTGACTTACATGTTATAGATTATTTAGAAATGAATGTGTATACCAGACATTTTACTTTAGATTTGTAAGATATTGTGGATTTTATTGCTTCAATATAGCTATTCATCACTGACAGTTGTCAGAAATGCCTAATATATATTTCATTCTTGCACTCCTTTCTCTTCTTTATGGGAAGGAGAGATTTGTATGCCATTTCATTTTCCCCTCACACATTGCTATGAGGTGAACATTATGTCACAGATAAGGCCGAAGGTTAAATGGCAGTCAACAAGGAGTAGAGGCAGGATTTGAGCTATGCCTCAAGACCTCAGAGCACATGATATTCAGAATGACCTACAAGTTTAACAGATTACATTGTTGAATTGGCCAGTATCAGCATAATGATAACTAAGGTTTGACTGTTTACTATGTGCCAGATATTATGCTAAATGTTTTAGATAAATTTATATGAACAATATATTGGATTTTAGTTGTACCTATTCCTCAAGTAGGAGAGTGAGTAGTACTTCGCAGCACCTCGTTCAAAAGTTGATTAAAAGAGGAATAATGAAATCTCCCCAAAATATATACTAATTCTCTCTTTCTTCCTTTGTTCTCTTTAGGGCATCCAATTCTACACTCAGCTAAAGACCATCACTTCTCAGTGGAAAGAAGAAGATGCTACTCTTTCCTCACCTGCTGTGGTCATGCCTACCATGGGCCGTTAGAATGAGTTGTTCCAGACTCAGTCCATCCTGAGTCATCTCCCTTTATTCTTGACCACCTTCATTTGCCAACTTTGCTCAAATCAGATCCCTGAGAATGGAATACCTTGTAACTAAATCTTTCTCAGGACCATTAGCCCCTGCACAGTTGCTATAGAGAGACTCCTGGTGTAAATCTGAAACCGGATTTACTTACTCTTCATACTTCTCTTTTTGAGGTAACTGTTGTTAACTGTGAAATGTTAATCTGAAGGAGAGCTTAGAGCTGTTTTCTAAAAATTCTTCCCTCTTCTGATAACTTGAAGGGAAGATTAGTGTTTGTAAAGATCATCCATAATTCACCCTTTGGTTGACCTTCAAACAGCCCTACATAATTGCCAGTGGGGGATACACCACTGCCAGGCTTTCCTGAGTCTATCATCCCATACTACACAAGATATAGTCCATTTCTACTTATCCCACAGTTGTGACAACTATTTCTTTCTTTTTGCTGAATGCCGCTTTGTCCTAGTGATTCATGACCACTAAATTCTATCATCACCTCTGTCCTGCTTCTTCAAATAATTTTTCAAAGATACCTCAGTATGCATTGGATAAATCTCCACTTTGTTGTGTGTGCCAAATGTTAAAGTTTAGGGTTTGCTTCAACAATCATTAATTAACAATTCAGTTATTAACTCAGATGCCAATAGGTTTTTTGTTTGTTTCTAGACCCAGAGATCAAAGGGAGTTTGCCTTAAGCAAGTCTAGCCTGATTATACTTTTTAATGAAACAACCCTTAATATAGAATAACTGAGTAGAGTCTAAGACATTTTTAAAGCTTTTCATGACATAAAGTAGTAAAAAAGAAATGCTTTGCCCTGCCTGATGCCGCTCAGTTGGTTGGAGCATCATCCTGTGCACCAAAAGGTCATGGGTTTGAATCCTGGTCAGGGTACATACCCAGATTGTGGGTTCAGTTCCTGGTTGGAATGTTTCCTTCTTTCTCTCTCTCTCTCTCTCTGTCTGTGTTCTTCAGGTGGGATAAAGGCTCCTCTTTTTGTCTCTTCTCCTTCCTTTTCCCTCCTTCCTTCCCTCCCTCACTCTCTCTCTCCTTTTTCTCTCCTTCCCTCCCTCCCTCTCTCCTTCCCTCCCTCCCTCCCTTTCTTCAAAATAAAAAAAAACATATTTGAAATAAAAGAAATGCTTTGACAGATTCTTTTGCTACCATTAATTCAACTATGTCTTTGATGTAGCTAAGCTTTAAGTCAAATAGATATTGATATGCTAATCAAAACAGCTTCTGCCTTTTTGCTCTACATTCAGTTGAATCCTGTCTTTCTGATGCAGTTTTCACCCAGTGAACTAGGAGAAGGCTTCTGGCTCAGATAGAGTAAGTAATCTCTGGTCCCTAGCCAGATGATATAGGTCATTTATTTTTCTGTTTCCCTTCAGTCATATGGATAATGCTGACCTACTCCATAGGAGTTACTCAGTGAATTAAGGATAGTGAAATCCTTGAAAATGTTTGTACACTCTACATAATTTCGGCTTATTACTACCACCTACTGATAGAATAGCAAAATCTTCAGTCACTTAAGGCAGTGATTTTCAACCTTTTTCATTTCATGGTACACATAGACTAATTACTAAAAATTTATATTTTTTGCCAAGCTGACAAAAAATTGGTATAATTTTGATTGATTTACCAAAAAATAATAACTAGTAATTACCTACCCTTTTGCTCCAAAATTACTTTTTTCAAAATCAGGTGAATATACTTATAAGGATTTTTGGTACCCAGAATTAACCAATCAGATACAACCTTATTATGCAACATGACCAATAAGTTGCAACTCTATTATATGACCTATATATTTATAGTTCAAGAGAGGGCATTCGCCTTTGAGACAGCATGGAGGGACCTGGAGAGTATTATGCTAAGTGCAATAAGGCAGTCAGAGAAAGACAAGTTTCACATGATCTCACTCATGAGGAATCTAATGAACAAAATAAACTGATGAATAAAATGAATCCAGAGACATAGAAGCGTAGAACAGACTGTGGAATCTCAGAGGGAAGGCAGGGGAGTGTGGGTGGGTGGTAAGTGATCAACCAAAGAACTTGTATACATATATGCTTAACCCATGGACACAGACCATAGGGTGGTGAAGGCCTGGGACTTGGGGGTGGGGGTAAAGGCAGGCAGGCAGGCTAGAAGGGGTCAATGGGGGGAAGGGGAAAATGGGACAAATGAAATACTTTCAACAATAAAGATTTAATTTTAAAGGGGGGGAGGGGGGAGATTCACACCAGACAGCTATTTTGTGTTGGCTACTGTCATTCTTTTATTTGGCAATCTAAGGGAAAAGAGGTCAGTGCTCCTGACTAGTCAGGTTTTGCATATTTTAAAAATTCTTATGGCACACCAGTTGAAAATCACTGAGTTAAGGTGACTAGAATTTTAATAAAATACGTTTATGACCCTACTGGGTCTTCCTGATTTATTTTGTTTTATTTCAGTTTTGCCTTCCTAAAGATGAGGCAGTAGAAATTTATAGAATGTCCCTTGTTTTATCTCTTATCACAGCTGGCAACTGATAGTGATATTTAATCCAATCCAACAACTAGAGGCTGGATTGAATAAAAGGTCATACTCTCTAAATTCCAAGTGGAATTGAGTCACAGAGACTCCTAAATTTTCCTTCCATTTAACGGAAATCACTTTTTAAATAATACTAATCAGGAGACAGCCAATCAATGATTCTCTCTTATCATTGACGTTTCTCCCTTCCTCTATGAAATCAATAAAAATATATTTTAAAAAATACTAATCAGAATCATGAAAATGGCAGGTATAATTAAATTAGAAGATGTTTCAATATTTTTAAAAAAAGAATAATTGTGTTCCTGTAATTGGAATCAATTTATTTGGTTAGTTACTTGCTACTCAGAAGTTACTTATTTCTTAGATAGAAAAAATAATTGTACAGTTGTTTATGCTAGTAGCAGCTAAAAAAATGAGTGTTTTGTTTTCATTTTGCTCTGATGTGGCCTCATTCTCTGATTTTACATTGTATTAATTATGAATAACAAGCACAAATAAAAAGCTCTTAAAAAGAAAATCTGACTTTAAAAAAAATGGTGCCATACTTACTTATACCAGTGAGGCCTCTGTCCCCTACCTGTAGTGACTTAGACTTCCCACCTCTGTCCAAAGCCAAGAGTTAAATGGGTCATTATGTTTTAATTCTTACATAAAAGATAGTACATATTTTGGCTAGGCTGCGGATTTCAAAAGGCAATTTATATGTTTTCAACACTAAGAGGCAAAACATGCATTTGCATTAAGTATATGCCTTCCTTATGTGGATAGTTATAAAAATGTCCACAATCTCATACTAGTATTAATACTCATTTCACTGATACCTGAGACAGTAGAGCTAAAGAACTGTGACTTAGCAAGAAGCTCACGGGGAAAGGTAACAGTTACATGTATTGTTTGGTTAGATTACAGACTCCTTACCATGTCAGACTCATGTGATCCTTTCTGAATATTGGATATTACCAGTTCATGAGAAGAGTCTGAGATTGGTACTTGCTGGGTGATGAACGTCTGATCTTGAAGCTTACTTTCATCCCTTAAATAAAGACAAAGAGACCTGTCAACAACCATGCACACATGGAATCTAGTTCAGAATAATAGAACCATTGTGATCAGGCTCATGTTCATTGCTTTGTCAAGAAAGACTTTACTTTTGCCCTGGCCAGATGGCTTAGTTGGTTGGAGCATCATCCCATATACCAAAAGGTTGTGGGTTTGATCCCTGTCAGGGCACAAACTAGATTGTGGGTTTGATTCTGAGTCGGGGCACGTAGAGGAGGCAACTGATTGATGCTTCTCTCCCACATTGATGTTTCTCCCTTCCTCTCTAGAATCAATTAAAAAATCATTCTTGGATGAGGATTTTAAAAAAAGAGAGACCTTACCCAAATTCCTCTGTTTGTCCACTGTCTGGAACAACATATTCTGAACCTGGAGGTCTAGAGCTCTGATTATATTTCCTGTGGTGGGTAGAAGTTAACAATGAGGCAGTGTCTCCTTGTGCCTTTATTTCAGCTATACTCTAAAAGTGCTAAATTAATGCTTCCATTGGATGGGCTTCTCATTTTCAAAAAAATTATCTTTTACACACACATAGAGGCAGTGTAATGTTAAGGCAAGTTATTATAAACTTATAGTCTCTTAAAGTTGAGACATGTTGAACTTAAGAAATGGGAAATATTTATGGAGATGATCATGATGATGTTACATAATAGCTATTAATGGTGATGGGCAAGGTTAAACCAGAGTACTGACCAAAACATAAAACATGGCCAGAAAAATTTCCTTCCTACAAGAAGAACCACAGAACACAGCATAAATGGAGAGACACCGTATAAAAATTTCTCTCATACTTTGGCAAGTCTGGTTAAAACACAGGAAATAAACATATCACTAAGTCAATATTTTAATTTGAAAGTGAGCTTAACAGTTACAAAAAGTATAGTAGGTTTTTTTGTTTTGTTTTTTTGCCAGCAAATAAAGACACATATCTCACTCCTAAAACTTGCCCTCAACTAGGTGCACATGAAAGAAGCATAAACCTATTCAAAATCTGGCTATTCTTGCCCTAGCTGGGTAGTTTAGTTGGTTAGCGCATTTTCTTTGTCCTGATATGCCAAAGTTGTGGTTAATTCCCCTGTCAAGGCACGTACAAGAAGCAACAAATGAATGCATAAATAAGTGGAACAACAAATCAATGTTTCTCAAGTCAATTTTTTTTAACCCATTCAAAATCTGGCTATCTTAAATAGTCTAGTAATGTACTTTAGATACTACCAGTGCCTAAGTTATAGCCAGAGTTGTTGCTGATGCATTAGAGTACAGTTTATTGATTATACTAGTACATACCCCTTTGACTTAGTTCACTCACAAAGAAAAATACTGAACTATTGGATTCACAATCATATACAATCTACCGTGAATTCTTACCAACTTCCTAATTAATCTACTTTCCTTGGTAGACCTTTTATCATTTAATTCCTCCCTAATATTAGGTTTCTTACTTAATCTCTTCTTTATCTCAACATTTCACCATTCTATTCCTATATTCTTTTTCCTTCATCTATCATTGGCATGAGATTCCAGTAGGCTTAGACATAGTTTCATTGCGGCCAGGTTCAAGTTCATTACTAAGATTTCACTCAATTTCCTGTTTCTCCAGTATTGAAAACAACACAGTATGGAACTCAAGGCCTGGAACTCAGGCTGTATTCCCTAGGAGAAGTCAACTCACAATGAGACAGACATTCAGTACTTAGAGTCTAGATCAGTGATGGCGAACCTTTTGAGTTCGGCATGTCAGCATTTTGAAAAACCCTAACTTAACTCTGGTGCCGTGTCACATACAGAAATTTTTTGATATTTGCAACCATAGTAAAACAAAGACTTAATATTTTTGATATTTATTTTATATATTTAAATGCCATTTAACAAAGAAAAATCAACAAAAAAATGAGTTCGCGTGTCACCTCTGACACGCGTGTCATAGGTTCGCCATCACTGGTCTAGATTGTACCTCCACATCTTCAAAAGACTACCAGAGACACAAAGAAACTTCACAGTCCTTTATCTTCCAGTTAGCCAATACTTTAAACTCCTTTTGTTTGGTTGTACTCTTCTTTGTTCTTCTGTTTATTAATTGTGGTTATTCCTAAAGGTTCTAGCCTCAGCCCTTTACTTTCCTACCTACATCCACTTTCCTAAACTCAACTACCAATTTTCATTAAACATGCTCAAATCTCTCTCCCTAACTATCACCTGTACTCCAAACACTATTTGCACATGCCTTAAGTATTTTTTACTTCAATATTGCCATCATCTCCAATTTGACACTGAAAATACTACTTTGTTTCTTCTGCCTAGGATGGTTTTTCTCCCTTTTTTATTCCGACTTACCTTTTAGAGGTCAGCTCAAGCTTTTACTTCCTCAGAAATATTTCTGACCTCAATTAGGTCAGATTCCCCTAATCAAGGCTCTCATACCACTCCTTTGAGCCTATGCCATAGTTGTACCTTTGAATATATTTATGTGATGATTTGAATAATGACTTTCTTCCACATAAACCATGAACTCCCTGGTATTAGGCATGTCTTTATTTGCCCACCATGGTATCCTCAGTAAATGGCAGCACTCAATATGTATTTGTTAAATGACTCGGATAGATTAAATAAAATTTAAATATTTCCCTCACATTGGCATTTCAGATTTTTCATTTGATTTTAATACGGCCATTCTTTTATTTCTTAATCTAAAAACAAACGTTTACACTTTGTTGTCTTTATTCCTTTTGTCCTTGATCACTAAGCTATTTCTCCATCCATCTTTCAGCTTCCTTTTTTTCTGACTGCTCCCACTCTTCCCTAACCCCCTCACTACCACATGAGTAGTGCAGCAGCTTCTGCCGGTCCCACCTCTATTTCTGTCCTCCAAGCCATCATATTGTCTTTGTTAGGTTCTGGTCAGCTCTGAGAACAATAACCTGTGAGCCCTTCCAGTGAAAGTATGAGAGTATGGCTTATTGCTCTTTGTATTCCTTTAAGGCAAAGGAGAAAAATATGTTACACTGCTCTACAATCTACATTAGCATAAGTTCAGGCTTTTCTGCATAGTTTTTAAAGGCTCAGCATAATATAATCTATAGATTAATCCTTATTTCTTATTACTAATTATTCTCTAGCACAGTGGTTCTCAACCTTCCTAATGCTGCGACTCTTTAATACAGTTCATGTTGTGGTGACCCCCAACCATAAAATTATTTTCGTTCCTACTTCATAACTGTAATTTTGCTACTGTTATGAATCATAATGTAAATATCTGATATGCAGGATGTATTTTCATTGTTACAAATTGAACATAATTAAAGCATAGTGATTAATTACAAAAACAATGTGTGTTTTCCGATGGTCTTAGGCGACCCCTGTGAAAGTGTCGTTTGACCCCCAAAGGGGTCGCGACCCACAGGTTGAGAACCGCTGATCTAGCATTACCACACTTCTTCAAGCTAGGCAGTTTTTCCTCAATGTTCCCAAAATACCTGATACCCATTTCTACCTTGGGCTTTTGCTTATGCTGTCTACTTTGCCCCTTGCCTAATGTGTCCTGCCCCCTCTCTCAATTATTCCACTCTCTCACAAGGCACCCACAGAGTCATACTTCCTGTCTTTCTGACTGAAGTCTTCCTCCCTGACTACTCTAGCCCATTGACATGTTGTCTGAACTCCAATTGTACTTTATTGTTCCATCTATTTTTTTCCTTGTTATTTTTGGTTTTGTTTGATCTCTCTGAGATCAAAGGCAATGTCTCTTAATTCTGTTGAATCCCCAGAATACCTAACATAGTGCCAAGCACATAACAGGCAATCAGTAAGTGGTTAATTTTACCCACTTTATAGTTCATTACCAGGGTTATAGTTACTGATAAAACATAGTGGAGAGAGTGAAAACAAATCATTAAGAAGAATTATTTCAGCCTGGTTGGTGTGGATCAGTGGTTGAGCTTCGACCCATGAACCAGGAGATCAAGGTTCAATTACCCATCAAGGCACATGTCTGTGTTGTGGGTTTGATCCCCAGTAGGGGGTGTGCAGGAGGCAGAGCGATGATTCTCTCTCATCATTGATGCTTTTTCTTTTATCTCTCTCTCCTTCTCCCTTTCTCCCTCTGAAATCATTTTTTTATTAAAAATAATTTTTAAAAATATCTGTAGATTTTTGTTTTCCTTTTTAGGTCTTTTCCTTGGTATTAGAGAGTCTCTTGTTAGGTAATAAAAGATTCTCTCTTATTAGAGATTAATAATCAGCTTAAAAAACCATTTACTTATCTTTGTAGACCAATAAAATCTTAACAATTGTTACACGTCTCTACATTACCGCTCATTCAGCTGTGCAATATTGTACCTTTTTAGCAAGCATTCCCTTAAACATCTAAAATTAATCTCTTTTCTACCCCTTTATTTATTTATCTCTGAGAATTGCTTAGCTAAGCAGTATGACCCTTTTATATTTTCTGATCTTTTCCTAAACCTTTCATTCTAAGCGAGAATAAGTTCATTATTCCTAAATGATTTTAAGGATTGATGACAACTTGGTATTTTACTACAGAAACAGGGATTTACCTGGGACCAAAACCATTCATTTTTGCAAAAAGCAATCGTAAGACTTTCTCCTTCTGCTCCCAAGTCAAATCTCCAATATCCACATTTCCTTGAATATCTGTCCTGAAGAATATCAAAGGAAAAGGAAGTGAAAAGGAAAAATATGGTCAAAGTAAGCATCTCCTTTTTTAAAAAATATAAAATATGTACATATGAGAAAAGAAAATTTCCAAAATATGTAAATATGAGAAAAGAAAATCTCTCTCTCTCCCTCTCCCTTCCTCTCTGAAATCAATAAAAATATATTTTTAAAAAAGAAATAAAACTAACACAAGTGCTCTATGTGCAAAAATTTTCTCACATTATACATCAATACTCACTCTACATGTAAGCCGACCTGGTTCAGAGGTTGGTTGGTGCTCAACCACTGAGCCATGGCATGTTAGTTTTCTTTAAAAGTTTAGGTTTTGCCCAACCGGCTCAAGGGTTGAGTGTCGACCTAAGAACCAGGAGGTCACAGTTCAATTCCAGGTCAGGGCAAAAATCTGGATTTCAGACTCCATCCTCAGTGTGGAGCGTGCAGGAGGCAGCCGATCAATGATTCTCTCTCATTATTGATGTTTCTCTCTCTCTTTCTCCCACTCACTTCCTCTCTGAAATCAATAAAAAATATTTTCAAAAAAGTTTAGGTTTTGCTTTATTATCACCATATACTTCAACTGTCCTTCTCCAATCTGCCTTTTAAGCCTCTTAAAAATCATTTACTTACGCCACCCATAGCCCTAGCCAGTTTGGCTCAGTGGATAGTCAGCCTGAGGACTAAAGGGTCCCTCCCGGGCTCGATTCTGGTCAAGGGCATGTACCTGGGTTGCGGGCACATCCCCAGTAGGGAGTGTGCAGGAGGCAGCTGATCAATGTTTCTCTCTCATCGATGTTTCTAAGTCTCTATCCCTCTCCCTTCCTCTCTGTAAAAAATCAATTATATATATATGTATATATATATTTTTTAAATCATTTACTTATCTTTTACTTTCCTATTGACTCTACCTGCCCTGCTGAGGGTTTATAGGGGGAAGAGTACTCTAACAGATAGAAATGCTAAGGAAGCAATTAATAGGAAACTGAGGTTAAGGTGACAAGTTGCTCAATAGCAGAAATGTCATACAAAAGGCAGAATAGGAAGAGTCCAGTTTCCTCAGTAACAATGTATAGAATCAGTTTATGTACCTTCCTCTGAAAACTATATACTACTTAATATACATAGAC